CTTTCAAAGAATTGTACGACAGTATAACATAATAGGCTAAGAGTTCCCAGTTTTATCAAATTACTCAAAAGCACACGTATTTAGATTAACTAAGAAGAAAGATGCACATGTTGTTAATATTCTCTAAACATTTGTTACCAAGCCATCAAATTTTTAAACATTAATATATATCTTGAAAGAACAAAATGTATATAATTCAGATCAAATAATTATATACTATGTATTCTTAACAACTCAGTTTCATGTTTCCAAAAAGTAAAAGCACAGACTTTTTTTATATCAATCAGAAAGTCAGATAAATATAAATTCAAGCCTGTCAACTTGGTTGCATGGACTACTTGGTGCATGTATACTATTAATAAAGGAGGATATTAGTTTAAAACAAAAATATATATACTGTATATAGACTACATTGGCTCGACTGTCTGTACCACATCATCTTCCAGCTTAAATTCCGACTACAGCATCCTGCTCAAGAAAGTATCTGCTGTCTGAGTACGTGGGCTCACAGGAATAGGGGTGGACATGTACCACATGGGCGGCTGGTAACCAGTGTGACAGTCCAAAGGGATTGCTCTGCCCACCAGGGCCAAGTCAACAGACTAGCTCCCACTAAGATGTAAACTCAAAAATAGAAGCCTGATGATTCAGAAGTAAGTAGAGAATGGAGCAGACTAAAAAGATAAGTAGATAATATGAGAGAAAATCTAAATAAAGCATAAAAGAGAGTTACTGGGCTCTAGAGTGGCCTAAAAGCCTGAACCGTTTTTCCTTGCCAGGTCTGAAATGTGTGTATCTTTACGTAAACTCTCTTTTTCCGAAGGGAGAAGACAGTTCATCTCATATCCTTATACCCTAAGTAGCACAACAACACAGTGAATAAATTAACTCATTTCCAAGTATACTAGTAAACATTATCAGCAAGTATCATTATTTCTCATTTGACTAAAACTTCTAGAAGATGAAATAGTCCACTGGTGTTTTATTTTTAGTGTAACCTAATTCTGTAGTCCTACTTGTCAAAATTGAGTCCCAGCATTAACACCTGTCATTATTCTGGTCTTCTCATACTCTCCAGGACTTTTTAAAGGTAATTTAATCAATCAGTGCACATTCATTTCACTTGCCTGTAAATATTAATACTTTTCATCTGTATCTCGAGTTACCTCAATGGAGTAATTACAGTTCTAATGTACAGAGTTGGACTTCGAGATTACATAAATCACTGTGCAGGTGCTCAGGCAGTTCTAAATCTTGCTGCTGGATCGTCAAGTTGTCAGGTCTATACCTGCATCCCTAGACCTTGCAAATACCATAGCATCTGTGGTGTTACTGAGGGAAAGACTGCATTGCTAGCTGCTTCAGTTCAATTACCACCAGGAACTAATTTTACCCAGTCCAACTGGAAGCCACAACATGGTCCTGGTCTTTATTTCTTTTCCTATGGATCCTTTATAAGGTTTAAAATTCTTTTGAACTTCCTAAGAATTTTTATTGCTAGCAACAATAGTAAAATCACTAAAAGAAAATTCCTGCTCTCTTTCGGTCATGTTTCTAGATTCTTTGGTTGGAGGTAGGGTAGGAAGGATGGACAGAGAATATTCAGAAACTTCTAATATACCAGCCATTATGCTAAGTCCATTCATACATATTCTTATTTAATCCCAACAATCCTTTGAGTAGATACTACTTTTAGTTTGCAAAAGTGGAAACTGAATCTCAGAGAGTTAAAGTAACTTGCACATAACAAGGAAAAAATACAAAAGAATTCAAACCCAGAAGTAGAGTATTCAAGGTCAAAGTCTAAACTATGCTTCTTCCCTGGTGGAACTTCTTCCATTTACAACTAATAACGTATCGTTTTTTATTCTTCTCTATCCATTTTCACTAATATTTTCTTTTGTTCTATTGGGTGAAATCGGAAGTTTCTGGCCATATTAAGCACACGAGAAGCCACGCAGAGAGGCCCCATACTGGCAGAAGAATTTGGTTGGGCCTGCACACTGCGTTTAAAAATTCTAAATGTGAACGCTTTCTCTAGTGGCCAACTGTCTATTGCCTTGCACCAGCCTTTACAGATTTAAGTTACCTGATTAGTCTTAGAAGCAGGTAATTTTATTTTTATTTATTTATTTTTTGAGACAGAGTCTCACTCTGTCAAGCTCCTGGGCTCAAGCGATCCTCCTGACTCAGCCTCCCAAGCAGCTGGGACTACGGGTGTGTGCCACCACACCGGCTAATTCTATTTTTGGTAGAGACGGGATCTCACTCTTGCTCAGGCTGGTCTGAACTTCTGAGCTCAAGCGATCTTCCTACCTTAGCCTCTCAGAGTGCGAGGATTACAGGCGTGAGCCACCACGCCAGGCCAGAAGCAGGTAATTTTAAACTGTACTCTTCTCCCACCTC